GGGGGGAGTCAGGCGCATGGCTCCTAATGCCAGCCATAAGGGACACCGCGCGTTCCTTACAGCTGCCATCAGGCGCCCCCCATGGGTTGGCACCCTGGGCAGCTGCCCGGCTCGTCCATGCCTCAGTCCCTGCCTGCACCCCAACCCTCTGCTCCAGCCTGGTGAAAGTGAGTGAGGATGAGGGAGGTTGGAGTGAGCAGGGTGGGGCCTCAGAGAGAGGTGGGGCAAGGAGCACAAAGGAGGTGAAGCAAGGATATTTTTTGGGTTTGAGATAGATCTTGGATTGCACTTAAATTAAGAAAGTGATCTTGTGCTTCAAAACGTTGGAGACTACTGCTCTAGTATGTTTTAGTGAAGAGATACAGCAGTGGTGGGCAGCCTGCGACCCATTGGGGTTTTATGTGTAGCCTGCAAGATGTTTTATTTACCACTACCCACACACAAGATTGCCAGACTCCACTGTTTTACATCTGCATAGGTTTTTCCTACTGGTATTACTTTGGGATGTGAGTGTGTAGTCGAGTACATGGTTAATCAATAAGCCTGGGCTCACTGGTTAATCCCTCAGTTACAAGCAGCTCCCCCACTTCCCTTTCTGATTCTTTATCAGAGGCAGCTACTTGCCCGCCGGGCGCGTGGCTAGAGGCCCCGCCCCCGGGCAAGCGGCTATGGGGGGGGGCCGCCCCCGGGCGCGCAAGTGTCCCTGCCCCCTAGCGCCCGGCGGGAGAACGGCCACGCCCCCTGGCGCCCGACAACTTCAAAAGGTTGGGACCACTGTTCTAGAGTGTGCTTTCAATGTATGCCCAGTACTAATTATTGTTTTACAGGCAGTATCTAGTACCAATACTGTTTTAAACCTATGCCTATTACCAGGGCTTGACAAATAATACAATCTACTCGCCCAGGGTAAGTAGATTGTAACCCGGAAGAGCCGGGTTCGGGCGAGCCCTGCCTATTACCAATTAGCCCTGTTTGTGCCAAGTTTTGTGAGCAGGGTCCTGTTTCTTGCTCACAGCTTAGCTTTGCTTTATATTAGCAAAGTCTTGACCATTGTTGCCTAGGCAGCCTCAGGCCTCATACCAGGCTTGTGATATATGGGCTTATGTTTCAGGCCCTCATCTTGCTACA